CTGGGGCAGGGCCGTGCCTGGTGAGTTGGAGGAACAGGGAGGAGGCCCACGTGGCTGAAGCAGAGTGAGCAAGGGGGAGAGAGGAGGAGGGGATGGAGGGATGTGTGTATGCATACACGTGCACGGTTGGTGTGGGCACTTCTTTGCTTCGCAGGCTGGAGTGGGGCCGAGTGAACCGTGTCCACGAGCAAGGTGTGGTGGGTGCTCCTGAACGCCCTCCTTTTCCTGCTGTTCCTCCCCCGCCTGCTCCCAGTGGTCCTCAGCTTCCTCTTGCTGGTCCTGGGCTGGAATGCCCTTGGGCCACTTCCTCCTCCCCAACCCTCGGGGCACATTGGGTGCTCAGAGCAGGTGATGCTGCTGAGCACCCTTCCTTGAGAATGCCCTGGCCACTGGGCTAGCCATCGCGGCTCGTGGGATGTGCCTGGCCCCCAGCACAGCCCGGGACCTTGGCCCCGGTAGGTGCTCGCTGCGGGCGAGGGGCTGCCCACATCTCCCTGAGGACAGGGCCGGAGTGTGAAACTGTGCCACCCCCATCTTTCCTTACCCCGCAGGCCCAGCGGGCACACTTGTTTCCTGTCTGTTCGAAGTCTGATTTCATTTCTCTCTTGTCCATCCAGGCGTCTCCCCCCCCCCTTGCTTTTGGTGTCATTGCTGAGGCAACCCTGGCCCTACCTTCTTTGCCCCGGGTGTGATGGTCCATGATCTGGGCCTCATTCATTCACTCACTGGTTATCTTTCAGCGAGGTCTGTTGAGCGTCTTCTCCCGAGGAAACCTACTCTGAGATGTGGAGGGGCTTGCCGTGGTCGCACGTGGGGTGGAGGTGGGAGGCAGAGGCAGCTCTGAGGCCCTGGGGGTGGAGGGGAGGAGAGACTTCACCCCAAACAGTCTGGGTGCTCTGACTGTGCAGGCTGGGGAGGAGTGGGCCCCTGGGTGCGCCCGCCCGCTGCCCAGTAAGCAGGCAACACCGTGCCCTCCCGCAGGGGTCCTGGCTCACGTGGCCTGCTGGGAGGCATAGCTCTCTGCCCCCTGCCGCGGGGCCTGCTGTCCCGCTCCCCAGAGCGCAACACGTCTCCCCCTCCCCGGACTATTTTTAAAACCTGATTTCCTTTTCAGAAGATAACTGGCCATGTCTGGGGTGAGAGGAGCTTGGGACCTTGGCATCGTCCTTGCTGTCCCTCCATCCTGGCTGGGGGACTCGCCACTGCTCCCCCAGACTCCAGCGTCTGCCCCCCCCCTCAGTCCCCCAGGCCCCGTCCTACTATTTAAAGGCGTTTCTTGTTGGAGGCGGGCACCGTCGCTGGCTGCATCGCGTGGATGAGGAAAACCGCCCCATCCCATCGTCAGTCTGTGCTTCTGGAACGGAAGGAGGGAGGGTGAGAGGGGGGACGAGATAGGAGGGAGGGAGGGAAGGCAGGAGGGGCAGGGCAGCCTCCGTCTCCGGGATCCCGTCCCTGACTGGGAAGTCCAGGCTCACCTTAGTTCAGGGTCCCTGAGACATAGGGGCGCAGAGCAGCCTCAGAGGGTCCACGAAGCCCGGGAAGTTCTCCATACGTGTGTGTATGTGCGTGTGTTTCCGTGTGTGTGTACACGTGCGGAGCGTGCACGTATGTCAGCCTGTGTGCTGTGTGCATGCGGCGTGCGTGCGTGGATGTGTGTATGCGTGGTCATGTGTGCGTGTGCAGGGTGCATATGTGACAGTGTGCACACGTGTGCTCGTGTGTGTGTGTGTGGTATGTGCATCTCTGCGTGTGTGGATGTCACTGTGTGTACATGTGTGCATGGGTGTGTATATGTGTGTAGGCAAGTGTGTGTGTGTGTGTGTGGAGGGAGTGTATTTCTGGAGCCAACAACCCAGAAGCAGCCTAGGTGGACCAGTTGGAACTTCATATCAGATCTGCCTCTGCTCGGTGTTGTGGAGCCCGAAGCTGCCATCCCTCCCCACAGCCCATGAGAACTCAGACGCCTCTATGGGAGGGTCTCTTTCTTTATGCCATCAGCAGTCCCTGTCTCCGCACGTCCCCAGCCTTGGAGCAAACCCGGGCTGGCGTGGATGCTCACGTAGGGATGGAAAAAGAGTGTGGTGGGTGATCGACCGCCCTCCGCCCTGAGGGTGCAGGTGTGGAGTGAGGGCAGGCGGCTTGGCATGGACCCTGGGGTCTTGGCCCGATGGCTGGAGGACGGAGGTGGAGGACGCCGTGGGGAGGCAGGTTTGTGGGGGGAGACCAGGACCTCAGGTTTGGACCCGGAAGGCAGAAAGCCCTGGAAGGGAACAGCTAGAGCCTCGGAGAATGCAGATTGACAGGGCCACGTGGACTCTGGGCCCAGGTGCCCTGATGGGCAGAGAGGGGCCCACAGGTAGGACCACTTGGCTGGGCTGACAGGGGAGCTGAGCTGGTGCTCCTTCCAGCTAGTGGTGGTGTTCCTTCCGGCCGGTGGTGTTCCTTCCAGCTGGCGGCCGGGTCCAGGCCTCCTGGGCAGGAGCCTCCGCCCCAAGGGCCCCAGACGAGTCTAGAATGTTCCTCTTTGGTCCACCGCCGACTTCCTGCCTTCTCTCCTTTTCCTTCTCCCCCTCCGCCCTAGACACGAAGCTGTGAATTGTTCTGCTGTTGGGCAGCCAAAGAAAACATTATGTCAGCTTCCAGCACCTTCCGCCACTCGCCCAACTGCCACCACTCTCCCTCCCTCCCTCGGGCTTCGGGATCCCAGATTAGCCCCAGGCAGGGGTCCATCTCCCGTGGCCCACAAGGCCAGCAGCAAGAGGCCGGCAGCAAGAGCCAGGACCCCGCCTCTGAGGGTCACTTGTCCTCCGGGGAGGGTGCCTCAGGGGCCTTATCTGGACCCTCTCCTGGGTGGGTTGGGACACTGACTGAGAGCCCGAGAGCAGCCAGGGCGGCAGGTGCGGCCACGAGAGGTCACGGGTGTCCACAGCCCGCCGGGCCTGGACCTGTGCTGGGGCCACCCGGGCTGTGCTCTTAATTGAGGCCTGATTCCCCTGCCATAAAATTCACTCCTTAACGTGTGATTCAGTGGGGTTTTGTGTGTTCCCAAGGTGTGTGACCACTCACAGTAACCAGCTACCGGGGAGTCAACCCTGACTCATGGCAACCCTACGTGCGCAGAGTAGAACTGTGCTCTGTAGGGTTTTCAGTGGCTGAGTTTTCAAAAGTAGATTGCCAGGCCTTTCTTCTGAGGCTCTTCTGGTGGACTCTGACACACATGGGGTCACCAGGACTTGGGGTTGACTCCACGGCAGTGGGTTTTGGTGGTTTATGTGTTCACCGTCCCTTCCCCACCGCGGTCCAGGGCCCATGAGGGCGGGCACTCAGGTCCCCTGGGTCTTCCACTCAGTGTGTGAGAGTGACATGTGGCCCTTGCCTGGGGACGCTGGCGCCCCTGGGGCAGCGTGGAGGCCCTGTGGTGGTTCTGTAGCCTCCTGGGGTGCCCGACCAGCCTCTTCCCTCAGGAGTCCTCTCCCAGCTGCTGCCCTTGCCCACTGACACCCACGGAGCCACTGGAATGCCCTTGGCCACGGCTTCTCCCAGCCCAGCCGTGCACCTGCCGGGGGCCCTGGGGTCCGCACATCCCAGCCGAGCCGTGCACCTGCGGGGGCCCTGGGGTCCGCACATCCCAGCCGAGCCGTGCACCTGCGGGGGCCCCGGGGTCCGCACACGCGGGCGGGGCTGTGAGCGCTGTGGCGTCTGGTGGGTCAGCCGCCTTGTGTGGAGACGCTCCTGGGGGCACGCTCCGGGCAGGGAGGGAGGTGGGCCACCACGCTGAGCCTGGTGGGGCTGTGGCTCTGTGCCCCTGGGCCCTAACCTCCGCCTGGTACCTTGGGGTCTGGAGTGTCCCCCCCCCCCAGTGGGGGAAAGCGTCACCTGGTTGTTCGCAGTCTAGGACCGTGTCTTTGGGGTCCGTGCTGGGTCAGAGTCGGGGACCTCTCAGTTACTCGTTTCTCTGAGGCTGAATGTCTCCATGGCAGCCTCTGACCCTCTACTCTGGCCCCGTGGCCCCAACCCAGGTTTGAGCCCAGGAGGGGTGGCTGGGAGGCGGGGTGGGGTGGGATGTGGTCG